ATGATATATATATATATTTATATTTATATATATATTATTTAGTCTAATAATAGTAATAATAATCATCATCGGCCATCTTTTGCTTTGTATGAACTTCTGAAGGGCGCTTAACGAGAATCGATGGATATAACAATTAAGGGAGTAAATGATATTAGAGTATGCTGGGTAAGTGATTCGCAAGGCGCTGAGATCTGTCTTTTTTCTTGATGGCTGGAAGAAATGGGTTTGTTGGATTCCAGATATGTTAGGATATAAAAGGTAATTAAAAAAATAAAGCTGCTTCCTGTGAGTAAGGGTCTGAATTCGTTAAAGGAAACACAGGCGAAATGGTCGGGTTACGATTTTTGGAAAAGTCAAATCCTAATCAATCGACCTGTTGCTAAGCCTGGATGCCCTCTACTTCTAGCCAGTGCGAATGAAATGACACCTCTTGTCCGGGCTTGCTTGGACCGTTAAAGGTCAAGCTGGAGGAAGTCGGAATGGGACTAAGGTATTGTGCGGACATAGGCTGTGGTAGTCTTAGACCTGGAGATGGAGTATGCCGTTGGAGCATAGGGTGGAGTGGTGTAGGAAAGTGGGCGTGTGGGTAATAAATCAAAACGGCAATATCCCTGTCGGGTAACCAAGATGAATAGGCAGGCGGCTGTGGGATGCAAACTGCAAGTACGAGGGTGGGAGCCGCAACGAGCTGGGAGGAAGAAAGCAAGCGAGTATGAATGGCAAAAGAGCAGGGTCGTTGCATCAGGCCTTGGCAGACCGAGTCAGATTGTCTGTGCCAGTGTGCACGTTGTTGTAGGCGTGTTGGTCGGTGTGTGTGTGTGTGTGTATGTATGCGCGTGCGTGTGTGCGTGCGCTCAAGCACCAGTAAAAAAGGCATAGGCAACCAAGTCGATTAGAGACAGGGCTGCAGACTGATAGCGTTGCATGTGTGTGGCTGTGTGTGCTTGACGGTGCTGGGCTAGTGACGAGAGGCTGACTAGGCGGCTGGACGACTGAGTGGGCAGTCTGGGGATAGTAATACTAACATTGTTGCTGAGCGAACAACAGGAGACCGGTACATGAACACGGACAGCTCGACCTGCCCTGTCGGAGACGGCCAAAGCCAGCGCCAAAGCAAGTAATAAAAGAATAGTGACGCGAAATTTCTTTGCGTATAAGAGACGCCTCAAGCACAAAAGCAGTGGCACTGGGCTCACGTTGGCGAAGTTATTGAAGTTAAAACTTGCTTGCCGGTCTGCAGTTAGGCAGAGGCTGGAATGATTGTGCACATAAATAAAATTGGGAACAGTGTATAGACCAGTTGATAAGCCGACATTCAGGAGAG